CGTGGTGTCGGCCTTCCTGGCGGAGGAGGCCGGCTGCCCCGTGGGCAGCCCGGCGCACGCTCGCCACCTGCCGCGCCTGCTGCGCCTTGGCATGGGCTCCATGATGCGCATCCGCGACTACGGCCAGCAGGATCTGGAGGCGCAGGTGTTGCCTGTGCTGCGCCACGAGGCGGCGGCCGCGGCGGCGGAGCTGCTGGCGCAGCAGGCGGTGGCGCAGCAGGCGGCGGCGCAGCAGGCTCAGCAGGCGGCAGTCGCCGAGGCGGCGGCGCAGCAGGCACAGCAGGCTCAGCAGGCGGCAGTCGCACAGGCGGCGGCGCAGCGGGCGGTGGCTGCCGAGGCTGATGCTGGCGGTGGCGCAGGGTTGGCTGCGGTGGCAGCTCGGGCGGCGGCTGCCCCGGCGCGGCGCGTCAAAGGCCGCCGCGTCTTCGTCTGGCCAGCCGGCTACCGCGTCTACCCCGACCCATCTCTGTGCTAGATTGGAAGGCAGGCAGGGTTGTGGGGCATGTGGGGCAGACGGCTGCTGCTGCCTGCCACCACAGCGCGCCCTTGCACGGCAGGCGGCAGCAGGGGCAGGCATCAACTTCTCTGTAACCTTAGTGCGTCACTGGGCCCCCTGCAACTTTCTGATAGTCGTTTGCATGGTGACCCCTCTTCCCCTGTTCCCGAGCACATCGCACATCTGGTAGGCAGGCCATGATAAAACACTGCCGCCTGCCGCCTCCTCCCTGTCACCCGCCACTAGCAGTCCCGGCTGGAAGGCCGTTCCCGTGCATCATCGTCCTGCCCCTCCGCCGCCGCCATCAAACCGCCCGTTGCCGCCTTCACTGTGCCAACCGTTGTGCAAAAGTCGATGCCCTGCTGCACCATGCCCTGCTGCACCATGCCGTGATGCGGCACTCGCCGTGGGCGCTGCGCACGCGCTCTGCTTGCTGCCGCCCCCGTTGCCAGCGCCTGCCCAAGCGAGGGGGCGTCGGTGGGGATGATGCCAAACAGCATCACCTCGCCTCCCAGGGTCAGCACCGTCTCGTCGCCCACCGCCAGGTCTGGCGCAGGCGAGGCGCGCCAGGCGTGGCGCAGGCGAGGCGCCATGCATGTTGGTGGTGGCGCATGCGCAGCGGTGCTGCGGATGGCGGAGAGCGAGCGGTCCCTTGGGTCCGCGCCGCCTGCGGTGTGTGGTGATGGGGATTCGATCCAGGGCGGGGTGGCTCGGGGCAGGGTGGCTGTGTGGTGTAGGCCCACAAGCCAACACAGCAACACTTGGGCAGCAACAAGGCAGCAGCAGGGCAGCAAGGCGGCAAGCGGGAAGGCATGGGCAACGGCTGCCGAGCTGCGGCCGTAGTTTCCTGCCAAAAGCCCACGGCCACAGCCACGGGACTCGGCGGCACGGCACCCGCCTCCACCAGGTGCTCCCTGCGGCGGCGGCGGCACGGCGTTTGGGTCCACGACTTGCTGCCGCTGCCGCTGCCGCAGGGGTGCTGCCTGCGGCGGCGGCGGTAGCGCACGTGGCAACCCCCCGCGTTTCCTTGCCTCCCATCCACCGGACCCCGTCCTGCGCTTCACTTAGTTTAGGGAGGGGCTGCTCACTGCTCATTGCTCATTGCTCATCGCACACTGCTCAACGCTCATTGCCCTATATCCCACCCAGCCGCAGGACTCCACTGCCGCCCGCGCCCCGCCCCATCTGGCCGCTTGCGCGCCCCATCCCCCCTCGATGGGGCCCGCCCACACCGGGGCCTCCCCCCTCCCGCCCACTGCTTTCTCAACGGCCCCGAGCCGGGGCTGCCCTCATTGCATACATAGTGCGCCTTTCCCTGCTTTTCTAGTGACCTAGCGCTCCGCACTGCCGTTTGGCCAGCCCATGCTCCCGTACCGTTGCGTTTCTCCCCCATGCGCCATGCCACTTTGCCAGTCATACACGTTTCGATGCGTGCCCTGTCAGCTGCTTGCGTTGCATGTCGCCTTGCTCCACCCCTGTTTTATTGCTTTCTCTGCTTTCGCCCGGTTCCCGTCCCGTTTCGGCGGGGAGTCTATGTTGCAAGCTAGTTCTTGCTTTACCAGACTTTAAGCCCACACAAGCAACAAGCAACATGGGCTGCGTCGGGGCAGCAGCAACAACATGGCGGCAGCACCCGCAACAGCAGGGCCGGGGCAACTCGCCTATGTCAGCAGCGCTCTTGAGGGCCTTGCCGCGGGGGTAGACCTCGGCACCGTTTTCCAGCTGTAGGCGGCGGCAGGGCGGGCCATGGGAGGCGGCGCCGCCTGGGCTTATTCGTAATTCTTATAAGAATCTCTAAATCTATAAATAAAGCATTTGTCATTCAAACACCTTTGCGATATGTAAGACCATCCTGTACTCTGTACAGCATGGTGGCGGTAGCACATCCCCACCACCCCTGCTGTGCATGCATGTCATCCTTGCGCTGCCGTCCCGCCAGCTGGCACCAGGCTGGCGGATCCCGAAACGGATGAGCTGGGTGCCCTCCACGGCGCAAACCCTGGAAGGCCGATCAGCATGGAGACCGGCGTTGTCGCACCACCTCGAGGGCCTGTGCGCGGCTTTCGCCACCCCAGCTGCCGACCACGCTGCGGCGGCGGACGTGCAGCTGCGGGCGCTCGCGTTCTATGACGCCTGCATCCAGGTCCGCGCCACGGGCGGCTCCCTGTCCGGCGCCGGCGAGCTTGCCGGGTGCGCGGGGCGCCTGCGCCCCCGCCCCCGCCGCGCAGCAGCACGCCAGCGCTGAGCCGCCTAATGACAGTGGCGGCTGCGCTCCCCTCGTTGCGCTGCAGCAAGTTGGTTGAGCTGTCGGAGGCCCTTGCCCAGCTCAACGCTGCGCTGATGGGCCTGGGCGGTGGCATGGGGCCCGAGCACGAGACCCAGCTGGGTGCTGCCTGCTACGCCGTCCACGGCTGCGCCATGCTGGGCCGCGCGCTGGCGCTGCCCCGCCACGTCGCCTACAGCGTGGCCCAGGGCGGGCTGCGCCTGGTGCTGGGCGCGGGGCGGGCGGCGCTGCTGGCGGGGCTGGCCGCCGCCGCGCGCGGCCCGGCGCCGGCGGCGCGCGCTGGCGAGCTGGCAGACGGCCTGCGCGCCGCGGCGGGGATCCAGCTGGCCGCGCTGCACGGCATGGCCTGCGGGCTGCAGCCTCCCGAGGAGACGCCGACGTTTGCAGCGGGGGTGGCGCCGCCGCGCGGCCTCCTGGCCTGGCTCCTCGCCGTCACCGACGCGCTGCTGCTGCCAGGTGGGTGCTGCCTGGTGGGTGCTGCCTGGTGGGTGCTGCCTGGTGGGTGCTGCCAGGTGGGTGCTGCAGGTGGGTGCTGCAGGTGGGTGCTGGGTGCTGGCCGCAGAATCTCGCAGTCGGTGAGGTGGGTGCTGGTGCTGGGTGCTGGGTGCTGGGCGCAGCATCACACACAGATGTGCATTCCGTAGGTTGGGTGGGTGCGGCGGTGCGTGGCGAGCGCTTTGGAAGCGCATGCATGCCCTCCGCCCAGAGCTTGCCGCCGTCCCCGCAAGGCCGGCGCCGGGCGGGCGGGCACAACAGGCGGTGCAAATGTAAGAAAAGGGGCGCGCCTGCCAGCACCCACAAGCCGCCCGTGCCCGCATCAGGCGCCCCCTGCCTCAAGCTCGTCCCCTGCAGGCGCCCCGCCCCCAGAGGGCACTGCCCTCAAGTGGGCCATGAGCTACCTTCCGCTGCTGGAGCTGGTGATGCTGCCGCCCCTGCACCACCCCGGGGCCACCCCCGCCCTCAGCCCGGCCTTCCGCCTGGCCGCCTGCCGACTGGCGCTCACCCGCCTGCTGCCCGCCCTGGCGGCGGCGGCCGCCGCGGCGCTGGATGCGGCGGACGGCGGCGGCGGCGGGCGCGGCGTGCGGCTGCCGCCGGGCACCTCCCCCGAGCTGGGCAGCCCGCCCTTCTTGCTGGAGCGGGTGTCCGGGCTGTGTGCCATGCTGCAAGAGCGGGACACCCTCATGCCCGCTCTGGTGGCGGTGGGGTGCCACGCCGATGGGCCAGCCGCGGGGTGCGGAGGCGCGGCGGCGCTGGCGGCGCTGGCGGAGGCGGAGGCGGCGGTGCGGCCGCCGCCGGGCTCGCGCCCAGGCTGGCTGCCCCATCTGTCCGCATTGTGTGTGCATGCATACCTGTGCAGTAGTCGGTACTGGGATATGCCCTGTACCGTACCTGCCCTGTACCTGCCCTACCGTGTTCTCCTCCCGTAATCCCACCTTCTTGCTCACACTTCCCCCGCCGGCCGGCCGGCACGCCGCCCGGGGCGCAGGTGTGGTGCTGCGGCTGCGAGGCGGCCGGCGACTTTGCCAAGCTGGCAGAGGTGACGGAGCGGCGCTGGCAGCAGACCGCGCAGGCGCCTGCGCTGGCCGCCGCGCACGCCCGCACCTGCCGCCTGGTGCACTGGCTGCTGGTGTGGACCCACGGCGACGCGCTGGTGGCGCGGCTGCTGCCAGACGGCGGCTGGTGCCGACTGGCGGCGGCCATGCAGGGGCTGGCCGCGGCGGCGGGGTGGGCCGCGTGCGACGCGGCGGACGGCGAGGCGAGCGTTTGGGAGGAGCGGGAGAGGTGGGTGGGTGCCGCCATGAGGCACCGTCCCTTCCCTGGCTTTTTCTTCGCCCTTCCCTGGCTCCGCCTGCGCCCCTGTTGTGCTGGCATGAGCTGCCCTCCTGGCTGGTGCGGTCGCCGCGGATGCGGCGCGGCCGTGCCTGCCGCAGGCAGCGCGCGCCCGCCCTGCGGCTGCCGGGCCGCCGGCCGCATCCCGGCCGGGCCGCCCGCGCCCGCCACCCCCCCGCCTCACCCCGCGCGCACCGAACCACCCCCCGCCTCGCCCGCCCCGCCGCCGCAGCACCCTCGCCCAGCGCTCCATCTTCGCGGCGCACCTGGGGGCGAGCGGGGCCCTGCTGCACGCGCTGGGCGACCGCGCCCAGCAGCGGGGCACCCTCGTGGGGGAGAGGTCTGGAGGGGGCGTCGTGCGGGGGCTCGGCGCGGGGCTTGGCGCCGTGATCGGCCTGCTGCGCGGCGCCGGCTCCGCGATGAGGGCCGCAGAGGCGCCGCGGAGCGCGGCGGGGTACATGGCGGCGCTGCTGGTGGTGGTGCCTCACGACTGCTGGCACGGCGCAGACGACGCGCTGCTGCGGAAGCTGCTGGCGGCGGTGGCGGCGGAGCGGCCGCCGGTGAGTTTGTGCACGCCCCCTGCGCGGCGGCGGTGCGCGCCGCATGCGAGGCAGCCCTGCTGCTGCGCTGTGCTGTGCTGTGCTTTGCTGTGCTGTGCATGCCGCGCTGCGGCTGGTGAATGCTGTTCTACTGCTGAGCTGGGCGGGGTGTCGTGCCGCTGCCGACCCGCGTGCCTGCTGACCGGGTCCGCGCCGCCGCCGCGCCACGCCGCAGGGCCGGCGCTGGCCTGACGCGGCCGCCGCGCAGCGGCGGGGGCACATGCTGACCACCCTGGCCAGCCTGGCGGACGCACAGCCGCGCCTGGCGGTCTCCCTGGTGCAGGCGGGGGTGCTGGAGCTGGCTCTAGACAGCGCCCTGCTCGCCGCCGCCTGCCCCTTTGACGCCCAGTACGACCTGGTGCGGCGCGGCTGCGGTTGATGCTTCTTGCGACAAGCCGCCGCCGCCTGCGTGTGCTGGCTGCCGGCCTGCGTGCGTGCCGCCGCCGGCCTGCCTGCTGGCGCGGCCCTGCCTGGCTCTGCGCTCGCGAGGGCGTGGAGGGAAGCGGCTGGCCTGTGCGGCCTGGCGGCTGGAGCCCGCACGCCGGGCCGGGCCGTCAGCGCCTGGCACGGCTGCCGGGCCGCCGCTGCGCGCGCCGCGCCGTCCCGCCGCGCGCCGCCGCCGCTAGCGGGGCCGATACTCCCAAAGGTGTTGCTGGCGTCTTGGTCAAGGAGGAGGGTCCCTCTATGACCTCCCGCCTCACCTTTCTTCCCCACCCATGCATGCATGCATGCCTGCTGTCGGTTTGTGCAGTCGGCCTCCTGCCTGGAAGCCTACGCCTGCGTGGTGCAGGCGCTGCAGCGGGCGGCGGGCGAGGTGTGCGACGCCCTCGAGGCCGGCGGCGGCGGCGGGCCTGGCCCCGGCTCCAGCTCATCGGCGGCGGCGGCGGCGGCGGCGGCGGCGGCCGACTTGGCGGCGCGGCTGCGGGCGGCACAGGCCGGCTTCGACGCGCTGAAGCAGGAGGCGCCGCGCCCCGCCGGGCAGCCCAGCTTTGCTGCCACTGGCGGGACCACGACAGAAGAGATGGCGGGGCTCAGCCGCCGCCTGCTGCCGGCCGCCGCTGAGCTGGCGGCGCTGACGCGGCAGGGCTGGCAGGCCTCGCCCCTGGCGGCGGCCGCCCGCGGCTGCGCCTACCTGGCGTGCGCCAGCCTGGGCGGCGAGGGCGGCGCCGAGGCGGGGCAGGGCGGCGGCAGCCGGCGCTGCTCCGGGTGCCGCGTGGCCTGGTACTGCGGCACTGAGTGTTCCCATGCCGACTGGAGGGCTGGGCACAAGCGGGTGTGCAAGGCGCTGGCGGCGGAGAGGGTGGCGGAGAGGGCGGCGGAGAGGGAGAGGGCGGCCGTGAGGGCACAGAGGGCGGCCGGCGGCAGCGAGCGGCGCACTGCGGCGGAGGGCAGAAGGGAAAGGGTGCGCACCCCACCTGATGGGGCTTCTTGATTTGGTATATACCCTGCAACTATTTCCACAGCTGCACAATTCAAGCTCCCACACTATGAAGCTCTTGGCTGCTGAATTGCGCCTGCGCCTGCGGCCATGCGCTGCTGAGCGGGGCACGCCCGCATGCTGCGCTCTCCAATAAAGCACGGTGGCGGCCGGCGCATGCATTCCCCCCGTTTGTGGTCCCCCCAGCGCCAGCCTTTACCTCCATGTTGGCCCGCGGAGCCTCCTCACTCGTGCAAGCCTCACCCCTCATAGCGGCCGCGGCCCCCAGCCTGCTGCGCGTCCTCAGAACGCTGCACCAGCAGCCCTTCACCACCATGTTTGGGAGCCAGGAGGCGGCCACGAGGTGAGCCGATCCACGAAGCCCTACTCCCGCTCGACACCTGAGCCGCGCCTTGCAGCGCCCGGCGCCCCACTGGCAGGCTTCCGGGTTATAATTGGGGCAGCATGCATGCGGGTGGGGCAGCGAGACGGGCTGGCGAGAGCGCCGCACGTGCTGCTGGGCGGCGGCTGCCTTGCACAGGCCTTCCCGCGCAATTGGGGCCCAGCATCACCGCTCCAACAGCTCACATGCGGCTGCATACCACCCCGAGCGCCGTCACAGTGCTGCCTCTGCCCCGCCGCCGCCAACACGCCGCCCATGCTGCGGCCCACCACGTGCCTGCGCCTGCGCAGCAGCGGCCCCACCACCTCGGCCCAGGACCTCAAGGAGCACGCAGCCACGCTGCAGGACCGGCTGTGCGACCTGCACGCCCGCTACTCCGAGACCGCCGCGCAGCCGCAGGTGGGTGTTGCCGCCGCCTGGCACAGCACATCTTGGCCGCTGTTTTCTTATATGTGTTTCAGCCTGGCGCCATGCTCCACCCCAACACACACTGTGGCACCACACCACCACCTAGACGAAGCCATACGGTGCACCCGCCTCGCAGGCGGTCGAGCTGCGCGCGGACTGGCACCACACGTGGCAGCAGCAGGTGCGCCAGGTCAGCGCCACCCAGAGCCAGCTGCGGCGCAAGGGCGTCACGCTGGGCGCGGCAGCCACGCTGAGCCAGGTGGGCCTGCGGCTGGGGCTGGGGCTGGGGCTGGTTGGCGGTGTGCGCTGCAGCGGGTGGCAAGCAGAGGCGCAGCCACTGCCTGGGGGAGGAGGCAGCGCACCCGGCGTGGCAAGGCCGGGCCTGCGCGTGCCCATCTCGCGCCGACCCGCCTGCGCTCGCGCGCTGGCCTTTGGGAGGCAGGGCACCGACCCAGTCCGTCACCCTTCCTCCCCTCCCCCTGCTCCTGCTCCTGCCCGATTGGCAGCAGGTGAAGGCGGCAACCGACGACCTGGAGACCAGCCTGTCTGCGGTGTGAGGCGGGGCCGATTCAGGAACCCTGCCGAGAGCGCCTGGGCCCCAGCAGCCGTGCCCGACGCAAGGCAGCTCGAGAGAGGGCTGAGCCTCCAAGTGTATCCTGGCTCGTAAGCTGCCTGCGACCTGAGGCGGCCACCCAGCCAGGCTGGCCACCCACAGGCATGCACCCCTTCGTGAACATCGTTATTGGCAGCTTTTTATTTTTATCAGCTGGGCTTGCGCCGTGCCGGCCCCACACCGCTGGCCTGAACCCTGCCCGCCCGATTTCCCCCAGAACCTCAATGATCGGATGCTCGTGCTGCCCTTTTCCCTCTGGCTCCCTCCCCGCCGCTCCCGCCTCCTCCCTGCTTTCCACTCGCCGTCCCGTTGCAGCACTAGCACTTACACCACTTGTTGTCCCCCCCCCCTTTTCATTAGTCGATCTCATGTGCATGCCTCACGCAGCCATGCGTCGTTTTTTGCCTTCTCCCTCCACACTCTCTGACCGCGCCCGCCTTCCTGCGCCGCCGCGCCTCGCTTGAATGAATCCGGGCCGGTGCTGCCGTTCATCGACAGCGGGCCGCTTGTACCCTGCGCTGCAGCCGGCTGTTCCTCGTATTTCCACATTTACCGATGTACCGCACTGCTGCATGCGGCGTTGCCACACTGATCCCATGCGAAACAGCATCCTGCCCATGATGGGCACCCATGCAACCAAGCTGCCGCCGCGCGCCAGTGCTCAGCAGCAGGGTCGCAGCCAGGCGCCTGCTGGGCAGGTGCAGCCCGGTTAGGGTGCTGGCGGTGCAGCTCCCCATCTGCTGGCTGGGTGGCGGCGGCGGCAGCGGCTGAGGCAGCACTGCAGCTCGACGACGCTGGGCACGCGGCGGGGCACGTGCATCTTGTGGTAATTTGCGTGGCAGCACAGCAAAGTGGCTCCATGCACACGGTGCTCCATAGGGCCAGGCCGCACCACCGCTCATGCAGGCATGTGCCCGCCACCCGCTCGATTCACCTTTTTTTTGCACTCAGCTCGCATCACAACATAACATCAGCCTTGTGCCAATGCGTTGAACATACCACTGCATCACCCCCTTGAATGCCCTCGGGTGCGGCTGAGTGGTGGGATGGCCAGGCGGATCGGCCATGCAGGAGACGACATCTGGCTGCGCCCATCGTTCGGCAGCGCCATTTCACCAATAGCCACCCTCCGCAGGCCCCTCAGCCATGCCCGCAACGCGCTGCCTGGAGCGGCGCGAGCTCCCGCTGCCGGCGGATGTGGCCGAGTGGTGCCCGCACCCCGCTGCGCTGCGGGTGCTCGCCGCGGGCACCTACCAGCTGGACGAGGCCAGCGGGCAGCGGCGCGGCGGCCTGCACGTGTTCCGCCTCGCCGGCGGCGCCCTGCAGCCGCTGCCGCCGGCCGGCGCTCTCGACTTGCCCGGCGTGTTTGACCTGCGTTGGCACCCTGCCTCAGCCATGCCCCAGCTGGCGGCCGCCCTGGCCGACTGCTCGCTGCGC